TATTTTAAAATTATAGTATTTTACATACCTATTCCTTGTTGCTCTAGTACTAAAAACAAAAGCACAGCCACATTGACAGAAATAGTATCCCATAGGATCTCGCTCATCATTTATTTCTTCAAATCTTGCAATGACAAATTTGTGCTTGCCAATTTCATGTCTAATAAAATAAGAAAAATTGAAACTTTTTACAAGCATGTTCATTCAGTAAATGATCCTGGTAGTATTTAATGATCTAATTATTTACCATGGTCTGAAATTTACAGACTATCCCCAATTGAAAGGATACTATAATTTGGTTTTGAATACCAAACTGTGAATGACTTTTATCCCAAACTGGATACTAAGAAAATTTCAAACATTAGAAAATTGTTAAGCGTCTAATTGACATGCAGTCTCCTCATTGATAGTTTATGAACATTATAAGGGCTATTAGCCTTTGGGAGCATATTATAAACCTCTGCCTCACAGGATAAAATCCAAGGGTTATCAAAGGTTTTTAGTGTGCAGCAAGCTAGTTGCCTGGATGTAACTGTATTGTGAACTTTGTACTGTAGTTAGTTTCAACACACAGTTTGAATTATAATGGAAATATAGACTCACCTGACTCTGGCAAAATGAGACAGATAGGATTTGTTGCAACCATCTGCCCTACATGCAAATGGTGATTTCATCTTTTCATCCAGCTCAGCTGTCTTGTTTACAATATCAATAACTTTCTCTGACTGAAACACAATATTCCCTTACAAAATCACTGCACTTCCCTTTAATAGACTTTGAAACTGAATCATCTGGTAGTACAACATTGGGTTTATCTATGATATAATTGAAGTAAAAATATATTTCACAACCAGCACTTCCAACTCCCCCACCTAATGAGCATGTACAGTGGCTTACACATTCTCTATCTGCCGGGCATCGATTGTCATGGAAATGGAAAATTAAGTGTGTTGCTGTGCAATATTCTCTATATTCCCATAATGACTTACCATTCATTTTCAGCATACTCATCTTTTGCATGAAAGCTGCACATATGTGAGCCTCTACCTCCCTGGCATGGAACTCACTATATTCATTGTAGTTATTGTGTACATTCTTAACAGCATTTTTCTTGCCAGTTCTGTACATGCTTGCCACATGTGCCGATTTCTCCAGCAGATGCATGATTCACAAACAACTTGTTTTCCATCTGTAGTAAATTATGTAAAGGTATTTTACTGTACATCAGTTAAATTTTAACAGTTGCATAGGCTGTGTAACATGGGGGCATTTGACCCCACAACAGGGCCAGCTCTGCATGCTTGACTGTTTGCACATTCTTGTTGTACTTTAATACAGTGGAATGTACCTTGTACAAGGTGAATTTGGCATGCCAATCTGCGAACTCCGGTTCAAGGCCATCTAGCCTCTCCACACTGCATTCTCCATCTTGGAATGTCCATTTAACGTTTCTAGCCCTCTCCTCGAAAAGCTAATCTCCATGCAGTGGGATCTTTGCAAGAATATTTGTCTTATCCAGGGATAGTGGGACATACTTTGACTGGTTACCCTGCATCAGCTGTGCCATTTCTCCTGCAACATTAGGGTTGAAGAACTCTACCCCAAGACAACACTATAAAATGAAAGTTAAATATTATTAACCGTTTGCCCTTTCAACACCTTCATGTCTATGATGTCTAGGGCTGACAGAAGGAAAAATTATTTGCTTAAGGGTGTCTCCCCTGTCACCTTAATGTTGCAATTTAAATAGCACGCCAAAATTGAACAACAGTGTGAATCACTCTACTCGCATGCATGCCCTCTATTTAATAAGCAGTGAGTATGCTTCATAGTGTTTGTGAGCTATGACCTTCCTAAAGTCAAATGGCCCCCATACTTGTAGTCACTACTGTAGCTTGGGACAAGGCTTTTAATACCTACCATTAAAATTTCGCTATACTTCAGTTTATGCATATAAAAAATAACAATTAACAAAACATTGCACAGTCATTCAAAAAAATGGTTTAAGCCAAAAATTTGTGAATTGCATGCCTTATGTCGTTATGATTTTTTGACATGCATTAACATTTTTACACCGCCGAAATTATTAATGAAGTTGACGTTTGGCAGTGTATAAAAATAATGTTGTATAGTTTTTCTTCATTTTTTATCTGAGTATGGTTTGTCATAAGACATGTGTTTTTTAACTTACGGACTCTTATTTTTCTGACATCTCCTTTGAGTATTTGTGCGGAATGTTCCACACAACCACGTCTTGAAATGGATGGAAACATTCGAGGTATTTTGTTACCACTCTGCTGACAAGAACTGCCATTCTACTTATCAGGTTTTCTTGCACTTGACTATGTGGTAATAACTCTAAGCTGTGTCATATCACTTCGGGGTTGTTTCCTGTTGTCGCCAACAGGAGACGCCCTGTCCAATACAGCGAATTGATGAGTCCAGTGCAAAGATTTATTACCCCTTTCTTTTCTCTCAATTCTAGCAGCAATTTCCATATCAACATTATCACCAACAATTCTATGGAATAAAATGTAAAACCTTTTAAGTTTGATAAAACATGAACGTATTTTGGTTTGTCTATATTGTTTAACATTATTATACAAAGAATTGCAAAAAATAGGACACTTGATTTTGCCAGGCTGTCATAAATCATAATTCTTTTTTATAGAACATCACATCCAAAACACTATGTACGTATAGTAAAATTTGCCACAATTTTCAATGTAAATACAATAATCAATATTGCGATTTTCATTCAACCTTGGAACGCCAATTGTTTTGCCGATATGTTTGAACGAAAAGTTTTATTGTTACGTGGTGCATGTTGTCAATGCAGTGGCACTTTGTTATCAAGGCCATTTTTTAAGTTACGACAAAACTTTTCGTGTAAACGTTCAAACATTTTAACAAAACAATTGCTGTCCCAAGGTCGAGGTCGAGTGAAAAATGTTCAATAATTCTTACTTGTAAAGTGGTACGTTTTCATTCTCAAGGACAGAAATCTGATATCATAATGCTTCTTCAGTGAACTTTTGTTGAGTACTGCATAATGCTATATTATGTTCGTTCTCTTCATTCACCGTTAAAGAATCCACCACTTTATTGTAGACATTTGGATGGTAAGATTGGTATTTTTTCACAATTTCTTCTCGCATGTCGAACTCTGATTCCAAATCCATGGAGTCGTCTTCAAGAACAGGTTTCTGTTTTTCAATGACTTCATTCAAAAATTGTAGGCTATTTCTAGTAGTGTCTTCTATAGATGACTTCCATTGTAAAACCTTTGCATCAAAGTGCCTACCCATCTTACGTTGCATTTCAACTGTAGATTTGGGGCACATACATACATACACCCAACTTGTTAAGTCGGATTATGTTCTGGTGAGTGGCTCCACTATGAACCAACAAGCTGGATATTCTATAAGCAACCACAGACATTGATGAGTTCCGTGTCCGACCAAGAATTGCAGTGGCCAAAGCAAGCTGATTGATACACGTTACGTTGCCGTTGTCTTTCACTCCAGCAGCCCCCATTAAAGTTGCATGCCAAAGCGGACAGTAAACTTTCGCTTCATGAACAAGTTTGTTTGAAAATGCAGTTAGATCATCTGCACACACGTTGCCTTCAGAACCGAGTCAGTTTTACTGTATACTCGGAATTCTTTGTTGACTGTCCTCTTAACGGCAAGTCGTAACTCCTCATTTGGGTGGTCAAATACTGCATTTGCAACAGCAGTCCAGCCGCCAACAAGAAGATTTCTAATAATTTGCACTGTCTTTTCGTTTGTAGGGTTTCGGGTCACAACATTCCCATTCGGATGAACTAAAACCACTTTTAATTTAAGTCACAAACGCCCTTCGCACTTTTTCAAACCGTCGATGTTGAGCTTACTTAGTACATCATCAGAATCAGTATTTACATCCACATTGTTTGCAGTACCTGTGCTTTTTTCTGATGACTGACCAGTGAGATAGTCTCTTGTATCGCTGCCAAACAAGCATTTTTTACGCGCAGATTTCGATCCAGTTCTACTTCTAGAAATACCATCCGGAGAACCTCGTGGAGAACAAACACGATTTGATTTTCGGTTGAATGGACTAGCTCCACGGTCGGGAGTTAACAGTTTACGTTTTCCTGGTGCATCTACATGTTTGGGCTCGTAATGGTGTTGAAATTTCTCGTGCAATGTGTTAACTGAAGATTTTAATTCTGTTTGTAGCTCGTGTACTTTTCAAATTTTTCTTGAGCATGTGTTGCAAATTTTGGTTGAATGATATTCAGAGTTTTTCAACAGTAAGCCAACTTTATCACATAAATCTGAAAGCACAATTCCAAAAGACTCTTTTCTTTGTGACGGTTTGAACAGGTTTTGCGATGAAACATGCACAATTTTACTAAAATTGCCGAACTGATGTTTAAAACAACATTTACAAACTCTACAATAATCGTCCGGAGCAGTTCGCGACATTGGTTAATTGACATGTTTTGATGCGAGCGAATATATTTCTTTCGCACAGGGTTTTCCCCAAATGCAGCTGAATTTTTATTGGTCGATTTTAGAAAGCCATTAATTATGTTATGACTGGGGCATGTAGTCATGAAAGGTGGTCGTTCCTGCAGGCCCTTAATCCTCCCCCGGAGCCCTCCAAAATCCTGCCTGTTGCAAATTAGGCCCCCCCCCCCATAAAACTGAGGGCCTGCCACGCAGGCTATGCTCGACCCTGTATTACTATTTGAAAAGAAACAACATAACTCATAAGAAGGTTAGTAAATTTAATACAGCAAACAATGCATAAATGATAAATTAGTCTTAAACTTGAAATACTAATTGCATTGTACTACAATCTCCGTCTTAAATATAGCTCGTCAAAATTGCACAACAGAGCTCTGAAGATGCAAGGGCAGAGTTTCGGGCTTCAACATGTTTGATATCGCCAGATATGTTTGTTTTCCTGGATGAAAGTGGCTTTGTATGTTAATTGCCCACTATATTATAGCTATATGTATGTTGTGCCGTGCATGCACGGAATCTAAACAATAGTGAGGATTAACAAATACAAGCTTAATTGTTCACGTAATTGTGCAGCACATGTTCACTAATTGTGCTCAGTATTTAGCATGCAGTTAATAATTATATCATATCCAAAACGAGTTACGCTTATGTTCGTGTTGGGTATGAAACTTATTTCATCTCACCAATACTCACCTACTTTTACCATTAATTTTTTGAATGTATAATTCTCCTTTAATTACAGGATAAAAGAATCACGAGAACATATGCGTACAATCTAAAAGGGCGGCCAGCTAAAATATATCGGCGATATTCAAACTGGGGCCCGCGCATTACCGTAATTCCCATTATCTCTATGGAAGGCATTCTTGATGTTGGCTTCTACCGTGGACACGTTAATGGAGAAACATTTCTTACCTTTGTTAAGAATGTACTTGTTCCATGCTTACTGCCATTTAATGGTTTTAATCCACGTTCGATTGTCATACTTGGTAAAGTGCTTGTCAGGGCGCGAAATAACGGCAGAAAGGTCACCGGTCAGATGACCGGCCAAACTAATTTTTGCTCCGACATCCCGCATTTCTGGACGGTCAAACTATTTATCTAAACTAAAGCTGTAATCGGTAACACTCTTTCATGTGAAGTGTCTTGGAGTGACTTTCTAATTATGCCTATAACCTTCGCTTAAGATTTACACCATATACAAGACGAAAACGTGCGAAACGGTCACGGTAAGTCGTAACTGGAAAATACGAAGATGACAGGCTATAGCAAGTAGTGCAAGATGAAAACGAAATTCTTGTTAGTAGTTTCGATTCGTCATGTGGAATAAAATTTTGTTAGGCCTTAGGGGTATCGTCATGTCTGACGTGTCAACACAAGTAGAAAGTCATTGTTAGCACTCATAATGTGTACCCAGTGACTGAAATGAAGTAACTAAAGCAGTTTCCCGCGACGTTAACCGCCAATATATTCAAACAGGTCAACTTTGTATATGTGAACAGAAGTGAACATGCTATAACTAAATTTTAATCGTAAAGATAATGCTTTAGTTTCTTACTGCCATTGTATTAGTGTCTTATTAGTGATCGATAGCATATGTGATAAGTCATCACTTTAGTTTACTTTGCATAAGGCATACTTTAATATATTTATAAGTAATTTAACTATAATGATAACCTGATCAGCATACATAAACAATTTCAGTGAACAATTCAATTTTGAAAGTAAACACTACGCTACAATCTTGACAAGTCTCTATTTATTGTTTCGAACCACTATCTTGAACTGATCTCCACCTCACTTGCGGATGATCAACTACTCTCCTCAGATTCTGCACTCTCTTCCGTGGATGAATCGTCAATCAACACTTTTCTCTTTTTGGAAGAATCTTTGTGCTTGTACTTTTTACGTCGTTTCTGGTGAGGTTGTCGTGTAGTAATATCTGCCCACAAGTGGATTGCTGACGTGGGGTCGTATTCTTCAAACTTTGGGCCCTCCATACTAATTCTGATCAGGCTGTTTAGAGTACTCTCGCCGAGTGTTGCACGGGAATCTGTTTTGATACGATTCATCAACGAAAACAACCATTCAACCTTCGCATTGGAGATGGGGATTGAGAACAATAGTTCCGCCAAGAGCAATACCATACTCCAACCTTCGCTCCGACTTGAATCAAAGATTCGTCTCCATACACATAAGTAAGGTGTTGTTGAGGGGCTGAGATAGTGTGTTGTGTATTCGATTACACTGTGCCACCGCTCCAGCAAATCACTTAAAGACCCATCTAAGCCAGCATTGGAAAGGGGGTTCTGGCAGTGGCTATAGAGTTCAGTCACACATTCATCTGCGAATAGAGGATCCTTTTCGCCTTCTTCATCCATTCTTTCCCACCCTTCAGTATTCAAAACGGTACAAGCAAAGATGACCAGTCTGTTCTCTCCAAACTCCAACCTTGCTTCTACGGCTTGCTTGACTTTCGCCAATAGTACATTCTTCAATTTTCTTGCAGACTCTTTTGCATTTTCGAAGGACTTCAGGACCACATTCTGGTACGAAAATGCTTCATTTGACTCTTCAACTTTGTCAAGAAAGCGTGAAACGGTCGGAAGATCTTCAAATTCTTTCTTCTCGATTCGCATAAACTGCTTTTTAGCTGTTTCCAGTCGCAACAGTGAGGAAACTGTATCAATATCTTCATCTTGGAATGCTAGCGACAACACCTTTCCAGGGCTGAGGATTTCAATGAAGAGACATGCCAGGAGCGGTATTCGTGCCTGCTGCCACTTTTTTAACCACCCTTTGAATTTCTCGCAATCAGCGGCTTTGAAGGACATATCTTCTGACATGTTTTGTAGGTGCTGCAGATAAATACCATATTTATCAATGTTGTAATGCGTTGATTTTGTGCGTTATCCAACGGGTGCCTGCAAATAGATAGGTGTACAAATATATATATATATATATATATATATTTGAAATACTCAATAATTCATAAACCTTGTGACAAATCATGTCAGCCATAATATGTCACGTGGAGTGACTTTATATCTGATAAAGCATGAGGCATTATATAATTGTTCATCCTAATTAGTATGATTATATATCATCCTAATTAGTATTCTTTTGTAGTCGTATTCTAAGCCATTTAAAGCACTTGTGGTCGTCTTTTATCAGATATAAAACGCTCGGCTGCGCCTCGCATTTTATATCTGATAAAACACTCCTACGCATGCTTTAAATAGTACATATTTATGAATAAACAACACACGAAGACAGCTTTCTTTTCAGTTGTAGACGCGTCCTCAGAGCCATCCGTCAAAACACTGAAAAAATTTACATTCAGTAACTTTCTTCTGAAGATTCTTTCCCAAATCCTCGCCTATGTGATTAATAAAAACGTTGCAGCTCTTATCACTGCGATAGGAGTTGCCAATTTCGACGCCATGCTTTTCTTCCAGCTTTAAAAGTTTGGGATACTTTTTCAACGGAAGTTCTTCTTTTGCAATGAAGTATGCGATTTCGAATTTTGTTCTTGTCTTGGCAAGATCACTGGCTTGCATGTTGGCAATACTAAGTGCAATGTTTTGTTGTCCGGGAGTACTTATAAACTCTGCTCTGTCCGTGGCACTTAGTCCCTTCTCACTTAAATACAGATCCATTGCTTTCTTATGAGGTTCTCCGCATGCATGGTCTTCCACATTGCTTAACTGGAGGTTTTCGGAACCTGTGAACGCCCAAGCAGTGGAAAAGTTTTTCATTCCTTTCAAACGGTCGGCATAGGTTTTGCAAACAGAACAATTCAAGCTAGTTATGCAATCGGCATTGTCTGCATTCACTACAAGCCAGTCACTCGCCATGTATGTTGCCAATGATGTTGTTTTCCATCGATTAGCTGCTGCTGCTGTTAAATTTCGTGATTTCTTATTCGTGAGTGTTCTTTGTCATGGTGTTGATTGCGGAAATTCTTTTGTCAAAGTCCCTGAGTTGGTAGCAGTTGGTGCTGACTCTTTATTTCCCAATGAAGTCTTGTCATTCTTGACAAAAAAGGAGGACAGCGTGGATTGTCGAGGTTTGTTTAAGACCCAAGGTTCAGAAAACGGTCGTTTTTTGCTGTTCGCATTGCTTGTCTGACATTCATCACATTTTCCAACGAAATAGCTCTGCTCGCAATAACCAGGCGTTTTCTCAGAGCAAGCCACTGACGACATTTAATACATTCCATAAGTATACTGTATAAAAACAAATATAAACATTTTTTCGTTTAAAACACGCTTGGCGAAAATGCACAATATGCGATCCAAAAACGCTTAGTCAGACCAATCTAAGCAGCGGTCATCTGATGATACTGCGCAAGTTTTCGCAAAGTTGATGATGCAGGGTAAAGTAAGAGCAGCACTTCGGATAATATCGGAAGACGATAGAGGATGTCTGATGTTAGATAGCTGTGTTGCCCCTGACAATCCCAAGACCGTCAGACAAGTCCTGTTAGAGAAGCTTCCACCTAATATACCACCTGTTCAATCGGCGATACTAAATGGGGATTGAAACATGGAACCACACCCAGTTATTTTTGATAGGATTGATGGAGAGTTGATACAGAATACGGCCATTAAAACAGAAGGAGCTGCAGGACCATCTGGTCTTGATGCAATGGCCTGGCGACGACTCTGTACATCTTTTAAATCATGTTCAGTTGGTCTATGTGATGCTTTAGCTGCAGTTGCTAGAAGAATCTGCACTTCTCTTGTTGATCCATCAAGTTTAACATCATTTGTTGGTAGTCGCTTGATTGCACTTGATAAATGCCCTGGAGTACGTCCGGTCGGTATTGGTGAGGTGGCTCGGCGTATTATTGGTAAAGCGATTGTCAGAGTGATTGGCAACGAGATTCAAGAAGCTACAGGTCCACTACAGACATGTGCTGGACATTTATCTGGTTGTGAGGCAGCTGTTCACGCTATGCATCAAGTGTTTGAAGATAAGGATGCGGATGGTGTTATTCTTGTTGATGCTACCAATGCTTTTAACTGCTTAAACCGTCAAACTGCCTTAGTTAATATCAAGCATCTTTGCCCAGCACTATCGAAGGTGTTAACAAATACCTACAGAGAACACATTCCTTTGTTTATAGACGGAGAAGTAATTTATTCGCAAGAGGGCACTACACAAGGAGATCCCCCCTTGCAATGGCAATGTACACTGTTGCTATTACACCTCTGATCCATCGCCTTTCTGAAGAGAGGATAAAGCAAGTGTGGTTTGCCGATGATGCCTCTGCTGCTGGGAAACGTAGCGGTATCAAAGACTGGTGGAATAACATCTCTAAGATAGGACCAGAATACGGCTATTTCCCCAATGCTGACAAGACGTGGCTTGTTGTGAAAGAAAGGCACTTCGAAGAAGCAAAGCAGCTCTTTCAAGACACAGGAGTGAAGATTTCTCAGGAGGGAAAGAGGCATTTGGGTTTAGCAATTGGAACATGTTCTTTTGTAGAGAATTACGTTGAAGAGAAAGTGTCAACATGGAAGGAAGAGCTTGAACGTCTTTCTGACATTGCTATGTCACAACCACAAGCCGCTTATGCCGCATTCACGCATGGTTTTAAGAGCAAATGGACATATTTAGCTCGGACAACCCCGAATATTGACTTTTTCTCACACCACTTGAAGAAGTTTTAAGATGCAAGTTCCTACCAGCTATCACAGGGCAAAATGTATTCGATGACAACCTTCGCAATCTTATGGGACTACCAGCTCGCCTTGGAGGCCTGGGCATCACTGATCCTTCCCAAAAAAGCTCCACTTTCTATGAAAATTCTAAAAAAATTACAGCCCCAATCGTCAATATCATTATAGATCAATCGAGAGTAAGTCCTCCTGAGATTAAAAAAGCTCAAATCAATGAGAAAAATCATACCCGCAACCT